CCCTATCAAATCCTATACAATAAAGAACCTAATTACCAAGCCTTGAAAGTGTTCGATTGTGCCTGCTACCCCTGTCTAAGACCCTATCAGAAACAAAAATTCAGTTTCCACTCCACCAAGTGCACATTTATTGGCTATAGTGAATCTCACAAAGGGTACAAGTGCCTAAGCTCAACTGGAAGATTATACATTTCAAGACAGGTCATATTTAATGAATCAGAATTCCCATTCCAGTTTTCTACCTTTACAAAAATTCAATCAGAACCAGCATTGTCAGAAACCATAGTGTCTTACTTTTATTTTCCATCTGAACCAAACAAAATAATATCTACTTCAAGTCTTGCTGATACAAGTCACTCTAAACTTGCTCATGCTAAACATCACCTACCTTCTAATTTAAATGACAATATAACAATTGGTGATAACTTTGGTGACTATGAAAGAAACATAGAATCAGAATCTGCAATGCCAGAACTAAATCAGTCACTGATCAATGAAGCTCCTCTGCAATCAGATGAAAATAAAATTGAAGAAGTGCCTCAACAGAGAATAGGAAATCTGGCTGGGCATCCTATGATCACTAGAGGAAAAGCTGGAGTATTTAAACCAAATGTTTATCTTGGAAGATTAGCTGAAAAACTCTCAGAACCTAAGAATGCTATTGAAGCCCTGATGAATGATGATTGGAGGAAAGCCATGGAGAAAGAATTCAATGCTTTAACAAAGGCTAAAACCTGGGAACTTGTGCCTCGTTCACCAGCATACAATATTGTAGATAATAAATGGGTTTTTAGGCTGAAGCATATTACAGATGGCTCAGTTCAAAGATTCAAAGCTAGACTTGTAGCCAAATGATTTCATCAAACTCCTGGTATTGATTTCTTTGAAACCTTTAGCCATGTTATCGAGCCATCAACTCTCAAAATAATACTCACCTTAACAGTCACAAAGGGATGTATGGTTAGACAAGTGGACATCAACAATGCTTTCCTCATTGGAGAACTTAAAGAAACTGTTTTTATAAATCAGCCTGAGGGATTTGTGGATGAATTGAAGCCTAATCATGTTTGTAAACCAAACAAGGCATTTTATGGATTGAAACAAGCACCTAGAGCCTGGAATGAGAAATTAAAGACTACATTCTTGAGCTGGAAATTCAAGTAATCAGTAGCAGACACCTTACTTTTTTATTTCAAAAATGAAAGTCAAATAATTTTTGCACTTATCTATGTGGATGATATTATGATCATAGGCAATGACAAAGACTTGCTGCAGGAATTCATAGACAATCTGAACAGAAAATTTGCGCTAAAGGACATAGGAAGGCTGCACCACTTCCTTAGGGTTGAGGTATTATGGCATGACTCTGGAATTTATCTCACCCAAACTAAATACATTGCTAATTTATTTAAAAGATTTAAGTTGCAAAATATAAAGCCTTGTATTACACCTATTCTTGTTGGTAAATTAATGTCTAAAACTGATGGAGAAATATTAAAGAACCCCACAGCTTACATGAATACTGTAGGAGAATTACAACACCTTCAATATACCAGGCCAAATATTATGTTTGCTGTGAATAAGTTGAGTCAATTCTTGCAAGCTCTAACATCATCTCACAGGCAATCACTAAAGAGAGTCTTCGGGTATCTCAAATGGACTATGAATTATGGACTTTGGATTCAAAGAAGTGACAGACTTACCTTAATTGGCTACTCAAATGCGGACAGGGCATCCTGCCCTTATGATAGAAGATCAACCTCTGGCTATTGTGTTTACTTGGGTGACAATTTGATAAGCTGGTCTTTCAAGAAACAACATGTTGTAGCATGTTCAAGTACTGAATCAAAATATAGGCTCTTTCTTCAACTGCCTCCGAAATAACTTGGGTTCAGTCGCTTTTTTAAGAATTGGAATTACCTCTGGATGAAGTTCCAACTATATGGTACGATAACATAAGTGCAGAAGCCTTAGCAGCTAATCCAGTATACCATGCCAGGACAAAACACATAGAATTAGATGTGCACTTCATCAGAGATAGGGTTATTGCCAAAGAGCTAGAAGTAAAATATATACCTACCTCAGACTAGATTGCTAATCTATTAACTAAGGGACTAAGTCACTCAAGATTCCTTTTTCTAAAAGTCAAGCTGGCAATTACCTTAGCATCTTCTAGCTTGAGAGAGGGTGTTAATTGAATTAACTAACTTATCTACCTTCCAATTATCTCGCCACATCAGTAGAGAATCAGCCAACTCACATACCAGCTGGAACATTGCATCAGCAGCATCTTTCTTCCTCTACTGATACGGTTTTTGCTTGGAACATTAGCACTAAGTCTGTTGTAAAATATTCTAAACAAGATCCACTATTTTAGGAACAAACTAACAACTGTCCATTCTAGAGTATTCCTTTTACATTCCATCGTATTATTTAACCTTGAAGGTTTGATCAATAAACAATTATCAAAATCGGCTGATTGCCTTGTCTATCTTCTTTGATTTCTAACTCTGTGAAAAGATAAAATGAGCAAAGTCACTTACCAGCCCAAAATAAAATTGAGGACCCTTGAAGGAGCCTCTTTATCGGCTATGGTGTCAGTGAGTGGCTCAAACCTCTGAGCCACATTTGTTACTCCTATCTTTTCCCCTTGATGTGCCTACACATGTGTGTTTGTATAATATATACAATATCGAATCTCCAAATTGTATATAAAATTTGTTTCATGATATTTAGAATGTAGGGCAAATTTTACCTTATATCTTTGCTTGTAAATATCAACTGCTGCTGCATGAGAAATGATCAAATGGTGTCCCACAATATATGGTTCAGTTCCTTGATTTCCATTGGAGCAACTAGTTGGAGCATCAAGTTTACATCTATGACGAGGGATAGCCTTTACAGGCTCTGTTGAAGTTGGACCACGACCAGGTGGAAAAGTACCCAATGCATATCCTTGAACAACAAAGGACCACGGTTCTTTAAGTGTAATCCAATATTTTACCCATTGACAGACCTAGGGGGGTCCTATGGGGGCACGTGCCCCCCAACTTTTGAGTTTTTTTATAAATATAAAATCATATTTGGTATTGATCGAAATATAAATTTTAATTTAAATCAAAATTAACAATTAATTTTAATAACATATTTCATGGAATCCATAACTATCTAACTTTTTATCAAAATTTACTAAAAAATTGATTTTAATCTCCATCAAACAGGGACAAAATCACAATAAATTTTAATTTTTTTCTTTTTCTCTCGTATTTTAACAAAATCTTAACTCTTCATTAAACAAGGGTGAAATATTGCATTTTTAATACCATTTCGAAGCGTTCACCGTCAAGTTTTCTACGTCGTTAATGGCGTATGAAACGATCAATCGTAACAAATGCTACGACTTGTCAAAGTAAACCATTCAAAATTAGTATTTCGAAAATTTCGATAATATGCTAACTTTAAAATTTTTTTGACGATCATACACTAATCGAATCTACAAATTGCAAATATCATCTCAAAACTTATTTCGAAAACTACATTATAGGTATATCAAATAATCCAAACAGATATCAAAAATTGTTAAAAATGCGTTAAACATGAGTTTTAAAGAAAGACGTTTAACTCGCATTTTCTTTAAAAAAATTCAATTATTTCATTAACATTTATTATTTTTGCAATACAAAATTTTCAATGTAATTTTCATCACTTTATTATAAAATTTTATATGGAATATGACATAAATTTTTTTCGAAGTTTTACATCCGAAAAAGTCGTATCCTATGTAAATTTTTAGATGCAAAGTTACATGGAGTATGATTTTTTTGGACGTAAATTTTCAATTGTAAAATTTCTCCCAATTACTTTACAAGTTCGATTGTACCCCCTAACTTTTAAGTTCTGCGTCCACTCCTAATTTTACCCAATCACCGAATTCCCAAAAGCAAAGCTCGGCAAACTCACAATAATCTTTCCTATTAATTATAAAAAAAATTCAATAATATATACAAATATATATTATTAACAATGTTTTCTAGTGATATTTTTTAGAAGCATATTCAATTTTTGTACAAAAGCTTGACTTGATAATACAAACATCTAAGGGGCTTTTAATTGAGAGGAATTAAATATCTTATCTTCCTTTGTATTTGCATTGTTTTCTCATAAATATGCTTTTGTAAATATCCAAAGGTGCCTTAATTATTATGAAGATTTTGTTACTTACACAATTTGATGGCTTAAGAATCCACCATACTCATCTTCTAAACATTGGGGAACATCCTAGAGGAAGATAGTTGCGCACGGCTTAATGCCTACACAAAAGTAGATTTAAGAATCCACGAGGTAAGACTTTTATCTTTATAAAAAGTTTTAAAAAGAAGCAAACCATAGTTGTTAAAAAGGAAAATTGTAGTGGATTTAACCATCAACAATGAGTAAGTCTATAAGATCATTATAATAATTAATTCCTTCTTTGCTCACTTTAGCACCCTTTTTAGTCCACCTCCCCATACTTTTAAAAAAACACTAACAAACACATCAAAAATGTTCTATACTCATAATATTTAGCCAACAATTAAGTTAAAATTGTATAAAACTCGTTAGTAGAAACACACTC